AACCACAGAATACAAAACAGTAACAAAAAGATCCATTACTGAGGGGGAACCTGAAGTGGGCTTCATGTAGGCAAAGATCCCAGTGCTCACAAACATGGAGACCACAATGATGTGAGGAAGGCAGGTAGAGAAGGCTTTATTCCGACTCTCTTTAGAGGGTATTCTTAGCACTGTAGGCAAGATCTGAACATATGATACAATTATGAAAGCAAAGCAGCTTGATATTAAACATGTACTAAATACAAGAATCCCCAGTTCTGTGAAATATGCATCAGAGCAGGATAGTTTGAGGAGCTGGGGGATTTCACAGAAAAACTGGTTGATTGTGTTGGAATGGCAGAAGGGTACGTTGAAAGTGACCCCAGTATGCAGTGTAGAATAGAGAATAGCACTGACCCATGCACCAGCAGCCATTTGAATACAAGCTCTCTTATTCATTATCGTCTCATAATGCAGTGGCTTGCAGATTGCAACATACCGGTCATATGCCATGATGCTGAGGAAGGCAGGATCAGCTATACAAAAGAGTGAGAAGAAGAAGACCTGGGTCACACATCCAGAATAGGAGATTGTCCTGGTGTTTAAGAGAGAATTGGTCATGGACTTGGGGATGATAACAGAGATGGATCCAAGGTCAAGGATGGACAAATTCACCAAGAAGTAGTACATGGGTCTGTGGAGGTTGTGGTACATTGTTACAACAGTGATAACAAGGAGGTTCCCCACCAGGGCTGCTAGGTATACTGCTAGAAAGATGACAAAGTGTAAGACCTGCAGCTCCCGAGTGTCAGAGAACCCCAGGAGGAGGAACTCGGTTACAGTGTTACAGTTGGACATATTCATTGGTAGACTGTGCAAAACCTGTGGATAATAGAACAAGAAAAATGGTAAGGAAGAAAGTAACAAGCTCAGTGGCTTTAATATTCCCATCAATAATCTCTCCTGACCAGAGTTTCAAATTTCCTGATAAGAATGCAGAATATTTTCAGTTTATTTTTGCCCCCTAAAAAATTTTTAATGAATATATTTCCCCTAAAAAGATGTCACATAATATGAAAACATTTTGACTTTTAATTTAAAAACTGAAGAAAATGTGTACCTATCCAGAAATAAAGCATAGCTTTTTTGCTGAAAAATCTACATGTTCAATCAATTTTACCAGAAAACCTTCAGCCAGAAGATACCAATTCAATTTGTGAGATCAAATATACTATAGGTACTACATAAAAGGCTGTATTCCCTGCAGGTCCCCTCCTCCTCCCCTGCTTCAATCAGCTGTAGAACTTTATCTGAATTAAAAGTAAAACCCTGAAAATGTCTTCATTCACTCTCTTAGCTTAGATGCTATTTTATGTTATAGTCAATATGATTTGTATAGCCAGATTTTCCAACTTGTATATTCTTAAATCTCCTCTGCATCTTACTAAGACAAGACACTTCACTGAATGCAGGAAACTTACTGAAACTGTCTTTGTGGAAATTTCCTCATCTTGTGTCATATTCAAACTTCCCTTGCCAAGATTCTTTGTTCATGTCCAATTGATCTGTCAGATCTTCTTTGCACCAACCACTAATCTATAGTCCCCAAAAGCACAGATAACTCAGAGGTCTGTCTCTGTTCACACTGTCACTAAACTGATTGAAGTAAATCCAAACAGGTTTCTGAGTGTGCAGCTGACCTCAACCATGCCTTGTATAAAAGGACTGAAGCAAGAAGGCAATTTTCAGTTGTTTTTTTCTAAAGGCTGGTGGTGCTGAGCCCCAGCTCAAGTCTGGGATCGTGCCCAGTATGCAAAGGGCAATAAAGATACCAGGGGTGAAAGTACAAAGAAGGTTTATTGCTAGCAATAAAAGGTGCGAGCGGAATAATTTCACGTAACAAGCACACTAGATTACTATTTCTAAGCATCTTTTATACAGAAGTTTTTGAACCTCCATAAGCATCCTTATTTGCTGATTGGTTATAAAGGAGTGACGCAAGGAGTTCTTTACTGAGCATGTCTCTATACCTGTGTTTTAGCCATGTATCTCATTTACATACATGTATGTTTCATTAGCATACCTTTTCCCGACCTAGGGGCGTGATTTTTAGTATTTTAATGAGCTCTTTAACCCAGTACCCTGGCTTCTGCTTTTGTTTTCAAGCCCCCTTTATCTAGGACTGTCTCCTCCTTATCATCGCAGATGGGCATTTGTCTCATAACATTCTCTTTTGCTTCGTCTCTGAGTAGTGGTTTCTAGGTCACTCCTTACAGTGGGACTTATTCCCCAGAGTCCTGCACAGCTCACAAGCAAAGACACAAATGTAAACAGTCTTAGGTGTATAGACTGTATAGACTTTAGCAAAAAAGAATACCTGTGGCTCTAGTTTAATCCCCTGCAGCACATAAGTCATCTCTGCCAAGGCATGAAACTTCTATATCTTGCTCTGTTATCCCTATAATCCTGACTGGGATGGGTATTTTGGTACCTCAGGATGCAGTCACCAAGTTGTAATTACATAGGCTCCTATGTAGGTTAGCAAGTGTATTTTTGTCAGTGCTAAAAGACTTCTACTCCCATGCCCAATTTACCTATTATATAATGATATTGAAAAATACTTCATTTTCAACAATAATTTAAGACTATAAATCAGATTGTAACATGTAGAAAAACATTCACTTAAAAATCTAATTAATATATTAAATCATTCAGCAAAAAAAAGCTCTATTGCTTAGTATCACATTTGGAAAATATCAGCCAAGTAACTCTTAGTAGGGCCATGGTCCTGAAATGGCTGTGCCATGAGTGACAGACACTCAGACCCCTTCCCCTTGATTCATATCCATCCCAGGTTCCAGCTCCCCATAATTTTTGCATATTTTACAGTCTACTTCTCTTTAACATAGGGGTGCCAAACTATTAGGGTAGCTTATTACATTTAGCTTTATTTGCACCTGCTTAAGTGGTGAATTATAGTATTATTTTAGCTTTTCTCGTATTCATCCTTATTTAACCATTGCTTAAGTTTTTTTATAGCCTCATTATTTT